GGGAAAGCACAAAGATAGTACAGCATTGGGAGGGCAGGCAAAGGCAGAGATGTTACCACCCCTGTTACTAGAACTCTGAAGGACAGCTTCATGTGAGAAGTTTGCCTTGAGAGGATGAATCACCTTCGGTCTAGAGATATAGCCAGCAAAGGTGACTCTACAGGAAGAGGGACAGGGGAATAAGAGCTCTGGTCTTAGACTTCTTTTTTCCTTCATTCTCCTGCCAAGGCTCCCCGTCAGCCTAACCTACTGGAAGTCAGAAGGCAAGGGAAGCCTGAAGCTGTGAGCCATATAGATCAACTCCTAGGGCAGAACAGAGAGGGGATGGGTGGAGAGTGAATCTGGAGTGGTAACTGCAAGAGACCCAGCACAACACCCAACGGGAGATATTGGTAATATTTCCAAGTAGGTTGTTGGGTAAAGGTATCTGGGGTTCAGGACCCGGGTTTGGACAGGAGATAAACATTTGGGTGATGCCAGATGGTATTTAAAGTCATGAGAATGCATGAGGATGACCAAGGGAGTTATTGAGTAGAAAACTACTGAGCCCTGGGTACCACAGTGTCTAGAGGTTAGGGAAATGAGAAAAAAAACAGCAAAGGAGAATGAAGAAGGAATGAAGGAGTGTTTCCAGGAAGAAAGAGGGATTTGTGTCAAACACAGCTGATGACAACTAAGAATTGACAGTTGAATTTAACAACATAAGGTTACTGGTGATCTTAGCTACAGCAGTTTTGTTGGAGTGATGGGATAAATTCTTTCTTGGATTCAAAAAGAATATGGAAGGAGAGACATTTGAGACAGAAAGTATAAACAGCTATTAATATTGAGGAATTTTGTTTATAAAGGGAAGGAGAATAATGGGCTGGTGGAGGAAGTGGGTCAAAACATATTTTTTAAACATGGGAGAAGTGATTGCATGTTTATATGTTGATATAAAGATCCAGAAAAGAGGTCAAAAATAATGTGAGAAGAGGTGAGAATTGCTGGATCTGTGTTCTTTGGTCCACATGAGGTGATGGAATCGTTTGTACAGATGGAGCGATTGCCCACTGCCAGGGGCTGGGGCAGTTTTTCAACTGTAATTGGAGGAAACCCAGAATATTTGGGCATAGGTATAGGTAGTAGGTGGGTAGATGTGATGGGGGCTTGAGG